ACACAATGACCGAAGCAGCAGAGATTGATATGTTTGAAAATGCTGCAAATGAAATGGAAGAAGAAATAGAAATCAATGAAGAAGATATCACCGTGGAAGAAAAAAATGATGTATTAGGCATTCTATCTAATAGAACAGAAACTTCAGATCCATGTGTTTGGAGAAATTGGAAATGCTTTGGAAAAAAAATGAACGCTTAAGACTGCAAATGAAGAAAAAATTACAGCAGGCGAAAAGAAAAATCAAGAGGCTTCAAACTGAAGTACGTAATAAGAAAATAACTTCAAATATAAATAAGATTTTCAATGAAGATCTTTCAGATTTCAATTATGCTTGCTGTCTGCAAAGTACAAAAAAATACCAAAATGGTGCAATAGTACATTGATTAAAGCTTGCAGATTAAAATTTGCATGTGGTTACTGCAGGGTACGAGGAATTGTTAAAAGCAAATTTCCCTCTTCCTTCTCTTCGCACTTTAAGTAGGAAGTTAGAAAATCTTAAATTCGAAAGTGGGACAATTAACGAAATTTTTGAATTTATGAAAATTAAAATTTCTGGGTTCGAGAAAGAAATTGATAAAGATTGTACATTAGTGCTCGATGAGATGAGTATTTCCGCTGGTACTTTTTATGATGCATCAACAAACACGATCATTGGCAACGTTACATTGCCAGATCATGATACAAGTATTTTTGCTACCCATAGCCTCGTTTTTATGTTAGCCGGAATTGCTTCGAGATGGAAACAAGTGGTTGCATATTATTTTACTGGTAATAAAGTCAACGGTGAAAAATTAAAACCTATAGTTGAAGCGATTATAAAAAAAGCTGAGGAACTTGGTTTAATTGTTCATAATGTCACTTCGGATATGGGACCAAACAATCAAGCAATGTGGAGAGCGTTTGGAATACAAGTTTCAAATGTTATAATTCAAAATAGTTGTAAGCATCCTTGCTCTAATGATAGGCTTTTGTACTTTTATTCGGACGTACCTCATGCTTTAAAAAATATTAAAACTGGCTTTATAAATAATGAAACAATAACCATTCCAGATTATTTTGTTAATAAGTTTGCATTACCTACAAATGTAGCTAATTGTAGTCATTTAAACGCTATTCTTATTGCTGATGAAAATTGTGATATAAAGTTAGCTCCTAAGTTGCGATCTGAATATTTATCTGGAAAAAATCATTTTCAAAAAATGAAAGTTAATACTGCTACAACAGTATTCAGCGATCAAGTAGGGACAGCTCTTGAATTGTTAGCAAACTCAAACGATGCCATGATAACGACTGCTTGGTTTTTAAAATTTATTGCTCGATGGTTTCGAACAATGAGCGGAAGAAATTTGTATTTAGCTTTAGGATTGAGTTGCATGGAAAAATTTGAAGAAACAATTGCTTTTCTAAATGAAGTAATTGAACTTTTCAAAGGCTTAAAAGTAGGAAAGAATGGAAATTGGAAGCCTTTTCAAACAGCTGTGATAATGTCTACAACGACCATCCTTCAATTAACTTTGGTTTTACTGCGTGACAGAGGTTTTAATTATTTTTTACCTTCGCGTCTTTCGCAAGACTGCATCGAGAACTTATTTTCTGTAATAAGATTAAAAAACGTAATTCCGAATGCATTTCAATTTAAAAACAATTTAAAATTGATAAGTATTTCTTAGTTCATGAAGAGTATATCTAATAGTAATTACGAAACTGATGATAGAGAATTTTTTTCAGAATTTTTAGATATTTTAATGGAAAACAGCAAGTCTATAAGCAAATCTGAACAAGTACAAGTATTTAATATAATGCCAGAAAAAATTGTTTTCGGTAAATTAGAATTAAACAAAATTTATTATGTTGCCGGATATTTAATGGCGAATATTATGAAAAATCAAATTATATGCAATACTTGTATAAATGCAACAGGATCAATACAGTCAAATAATTATTATTACAGTGCCTTAACACGTCTCAGATGTAAAAACGTAAATACTTTATTTTTTGTAAATCCTGTCACGTTCAACTTTTTTCTTCAAATGGCAAAAATATTTAAGACTTTTTATCCTCGTATTAGAGTACAAAAACATGTAAATCTGAAACAATTCTTTGTAAAATTATATAACCAAAGTACTTTTTCTCTATCTGCATGCCATAATTTGAAAGAAAAAATTATTAAAAGGTTTATAGCATTTCAATTGAAAAATTGTTCACGTGCGATAACTCCGTGTAATAAAAATGCAATACGTGCAAGCAAAAGCATGGTAATGCATACATACATTAAATAAAATACATGAATTTTCTTATAAAAAAGTTTAACATTCCTTTTTTATTCTTATTTCCTGTTATTCATGCTACTTTCACTTTCATTGCTTGCGTACTTTCTCTGATAAATATTTCTGAGAAATCTATGTTGTTTAGATTTAGATCTCTAATGAATCTTTCTTTTAGATCGTACCATCGTCTAATATATATCCAGCTATTAAAGGAATTTTATCCTTACACATAGGATATGGGACACAACTGCAATTAAAATGACAAATTTTAGCCTCGAACAATCAGATCAACTCTATATACATTTTTTCCAATCAAGTTATACAAAATTGCACAGAAGTAAATAAACGACAAGAAATAAATAATAAACTTCTTATAAAAAAGTTTAACATTCCTTTTTTATTCTTATTTCTTGTTATTCGCATGCTACTTTCACTTTCATTGCTTACGTACTTTCTCTGATAAATATTTCTGAGAAATCTATGTTGTTTAGATTTAGATCTCTAATGAATCTTTCTTTTAGATCGTACCATCGTCTAATATACATCCAGCTATTAAAGGAATTGAATTTCATCCTTACACATAGGATATGGGACACAACTGCAATTAAAATGACAAATTTTGGCCTCGAACAATCAGATCAACTCTATATACATTTTTTCCAATCAAGTTATACAAAATTGCACAGAAGTAAATAAACGACAAGAAATAAATAATAAACAATTGTATTAAAAAATTAATGAGAAATAAACGAAATTGTTCACAAATTTTTAGGAATATTGCAACGTATTATTCTATATAATTTGCTTATATTTTTCTACGAGTCTAAATACAATACTTAAATTATATTTATAATAATACATAATGTATATATTTATATATATATAAAACGTAACATGTGTATTTATACATATAATAATAATATATAATTCCTTAATAATCTCAATTTATATTACCTTACATGGGAAAACTAATGAATAAGCCTTTTTTAAATATATTGTTTTAATATTCATTATTCACATTCCTAAATAAAAAACATCAATAACTTCAAATAAAACTATATATATCGTATTCTTGCATTTATTCAACATTCAAAATAAACCGTCATCAAAAACGTCATATCCGACATCCGGTTTTACCCCACGATGGCTCGTTGTCGAATCTCTGTTATAGTATCTCTATTTTACACGCCTATCGATAATTGTCGGTGCCGTTCATGAATTCATGAATTCACAAATTAGAACCAATCGTTTGGTGAGTAAGTTGCATTCCGAAACCCATCGAAAAAAAAGAGAGGTGTCGCAATCTCATTGCTTGATAGCTTCTGCACACTGAAAATGTGATGCAGTAGCAATAAGCTTACAGCTCCTAATGTGTTTATTAGTTACCGCGTCTCGTTTTGCCGCGCGGCTAGCATTTCCACGTCCAGTGTGCAAAGCCATGACTGTACATTGACCAATAAAGGCTGTGGTCAAAGTCTCGCTATAAGTGCTTTGAAGCGTTTGATGGACCAATTATAAGAAAAAATTTTACAAATTGACCAATTAAAAAACGCTTCAAAGCATTTGCAACATCGCGTTGACCATACCCAGAAATGTCTTTATCCATTCAAGATGCGTTTCGGACCATGTAAAGGCATTTCTGTCGGCCAGTGTACACAAAGAAGAAGACAGTTTGAGAATTGTTTTAAATATTTATTAAAAAAATGGATAAAATAAAGAAAAATTATGTGCAGTATTATAACCAATGTGACAATAACAATAAAAATATACAATGCACTTTTTTCCGTTATTCTAAAGATATCAAAAGGTAAGTTAACAAAAATGTTTTATTTAGAATTATTATTTAGTTTAAATAAGTTTGATACTTGACCCATTCTTAGTTTTTGTTATTTTCGAATTAATTTTGTTTATTTTTTTATGTTTCTGTATAATTTTTTAAATTACATTATTACTTATAGAACATTATATTCTCTATTTGGTCCTGGATTTTTGAACTGTTATAGCGTTTTCTCTTGGGATACACTGAGTGTAACCTCGCACTACACCAGTTGCATGTAAGTGCTGCATTAGTGCTGCACTACACAAGTGGTGTACACTACTTCATGCTATCGTGTTTAATTCTGCTGCCGGTTGACTTCCATTTTCAAATTTTTAATGTCACACTAACTTTACACCGTCTCTTTGAGATGATATAGCAAAATCCCACTTCGTGCATAAAATTTGCATTAACTATAGCTACAGAAACACATTACACTGAATGAGTTCGCCTACCACCATCCAAGGAAATACGCTACATTGTCTGAGTATTGCACTGGTGGGCGATAGTGCAGCCAAGAGAAAACGTTATTAATGTGGCGGATGTTCACGTGACTTTCGACACAGA